CACTTTGCCTTAATCATAAAACCCACTGGTAGGATTTTCATATATTTTTTAAATGTTAAAATCTCTTTTTTTTCTAAACATATCCTATTTTTCTATCTCCAGAGTATATCAAAAACTTTATTAAGAAGCTTGATAAACTGTATGGGAAAATGAATGGCTGAAAAGTAGAAACAGGTGGGTGTGATGAACAAGATCACAAATCAAAAAACCCTCAGCAAACAAAAGCTCTAGACCAGATGGCTTCACAGGTGAATTTTACCAAACATTTACAGACCAGAAGAATTAACACCTCTCCTTCTCAAACTATTTCCAAAAATTGAAGAGGAGGAAAAGCTTTCAAGCTCATTTTATGAGGCCAGCATTATACAAATTCCAAAACCAGATAAAGACACTACAAGAGGAGAAAATTACAACGCCAATATCCCTGATGAACATAGGTGCTAAAATCCTCAGCAAAATATTAGCAAACCAAATACAGCAATACATCAAAAAGACCATACACAATGATGAAGTAGGATTTATTCTGGGAACGCAAGGTTGGTAAAACATAAGTCAGTAAATTTGATTCACAACATAAATAAAATGAAGGATGAAAACCACATGATCATATCAATAGATGCAGAAAAAGCATTTGATAAAATGTGGCACACATTTATGATAAAAACTCTTAGCAGAGTGGGAATGGGGGGGGCATACATCAGTGTAATAAAGGTCATATGTGAGAAAACCAGAGTCAAGATCATACTCAATGGGCAAAAACAACAAATGTATTCCTTAAGACTGAAAACAAGACAGGGATGTCTGCTTTCACCTCCTTTATTCAACATAGTACTGGAATTCCTAGCCATATCAATCAGACAAGAAAAAGAAATAAAAGACATCCAAATTGTAAAGGATGAAGTAAAACTGTCTTTATCTGCAGATGATATGATACTGTACACAGAGAACCCCAAAGATTCTGCCAAGAAACTACTAGAACTGATAAATAAATTGAGTGAAGTATCAGGATACAAAACTGATATCCAGAAATCAGTTGCATTTTTACATGCCAACAATGAACTAACAGAAAGGGAAATTAAGAAAACAATACTATCACAGTCACTTCAAAAAGAATAAAATACCTAGGAATAAATCTAACTAAGGTGTAAAAGACCTGTAATTGGAAAATTATAAGACATTGAAGAAAGAAACTGAAGAAGATACAAATAAGTGGAAGCTTATACCATGTCCATGGATAGGAAGAATTAACATCATTAAAATGTCCATGCTATCCAATGCAATCTATAGATTCAATGCAATTCCTGTCAAGATTCCAATGTCATATTTCACAGAACTAGAACAAATATTTCAAAAATTTACATGGAACCACAAAAGGCTTCACATAACAACAGTGATCCTGAGAAAGAAGAACAAAGTTGGAGGAATCATGCTACGTAATATCAAACTATACTATAAGTCCATAGTAATCAATGGAACAGAATAGAGAGCTCAGAAATAAACCCACACTTTTGTAGTCAATATTTGACATGGAAGCAAGCACATACCATGTGCTAAAGATAGTTTACTCAATAAATGATGTTGGGAAAACTGGACAGGTACATGTAGAAAAATGAGAATAGACCACCTTCTTACACCACACACAAGAATAAATTTACAGTGGATTAAAGGCTTAAATATTAGATCTGAAACCATAAAAATCCTAGAAGAAAACATAGGCTGTAAAATCTTGGGCATTGCTTATGGCAATATTTTATCTGATATACCTCCCTAGGCAAGGGAAACAAAAGAAAAAATAAACAAATGGGACTATGTCAAAGGAGACCATCAACCAAATAAAAAGCCCACAGAATGGGAGAACATATTCACCAATACATCTGATAAGGAGTTAATATCCAAAATTTATAAAGAACTTACAAAACTCAACACCAAAAAAGAAAAATCAATCCAATTAAAAAATGGGCAAAGGATCTGAATAGACACTTCTCCAAAGAGGACATACAGATGGCCAGTAAACATATGAAAAGATTCTCAATGTCACTAATCATCAGAGAAATGCACATTACAAGTACAATGAGATATAATTTCATACCTGTCAGTATGGCTATCATCAATAAATCAACAAATAAGTGCTGATGAGGATGTGGAGAAAAGGGAACACTAGTACACTGTTGGTGGAAATGCAAACTGGTGCAGCCACTGTGGAAAGCAGTAGGGAGACACCTCCAAAAATGAAAAATGAACTGCCTTTTGACCCAGTAATCCCACTTCTGGGAATATATCTGAAGAAACCCACAAACAAATCCAAAAGAACATAAGCACCCCTATGTTCATTGAAGCATTATTCACAGTCACCAAGATATGGAAGCAGGCCAAGTGTCCATCAGTAGATAAGTGGATAAAACAATTATGGGACATTTACACAATGTAAAACTACTCAAACATAAAAATGAAAATTTTACCTTTTGCAAAAGTATGGACATGGAGAACATTATACTAAGTGAAATAAGCCACTCAGAGAAAGGCAAATACCATATGATTTCATTTATATATGAAATCTAATGAAAAAACTAAACTAACAAGCAAAATAGAGACAGACTTAGAGAGCAGGATGGCAGCTAAGGTGCGGGGAGGTTAGGGAGTGGAGAGATTGAGCAAAAATTAAAAAGAACTCATGGACATGGAAAACAGTACGGTGATTGCAGGCAGAGGGAGGTATTAGAGGATTGACTAGTAATGGAAAAAATACAATTTAAAAATTTTTTGAAAAAGAAAATGAATGGCTGAAAGGTGGACACAGGTGGGGGAGATGAACAATATCAAAAATCCTCAGATTACTAATATGTAAGTCACTGAGCCCTAAAATGAGCAATACTTTCCATTCTTATCAACAGAGGAAGGTCAGTTCCATTTGCCTCCTATCTTTCCTATTGATCATATGTATATCCTGAACACTGGGTAAAATAAACAAAAAAACTTTGCATTTTAAAAATAATTCATAGGTCATAGATGCCATCTAAGAGGCTATTACTTAATCCCGACTACTCAGTAAATTATTTGCCCAACATTACCCAGCTAGTGAGTGGTAGATAGCTCTAGAGCCAGATTTTTCTGACTCGATAGTCATGACCACACTAGCAGGTCATGAAATATTATGTCCTGATGGTCATTTTTAGAAAAATGAAACATGAAGTAGAAAAATATCAGAGGAACCCCCCCGCTGGCATGGCTCAGAGACCTGAGAGCCCACCTGCGAACCAAAGGATTGCCAGTCAGGGCACAGGCCTGGGTTGCGGGCCAAGTCCCAACAATCCACACATTGGTGTTTCCCTCTCTCCCTTTCCCGCTCTCTCTAAAAATAAATAAAATCTTTAAAAAAAAATAAAAGAAAATATCAAAAAAACTAAATTTGGAATAACATTGCTCTATTACTCTATGTGACCTCAAAAAGAGATTGGCAAGAAGAAGCATTTTGAGCTGAATCTCCAAGTCTATCATGATTTTATTGAGGCTAAAGAGAATTTCACATTCCCCACCAGATTTTTAAGGCAATATCATTTAGTATTTTTCCAAGTTAAACAGGAAAATATGTGCCCTGAGTGGTGTGGCTCAGTGGATGGGGCATCATCCAGCAAACTGAAAGGTTGCTGGTTCAATTCCCGGTCAGTGCATATGCCTAGTTAGTGGGTCAGATTCCTGACTGGGGGCATGCAAGAGGCAATGGATTGGTGTTTCTTTCACACATCAGTGTTTCTCTCCCTTTCTTTCTTCCTCCCTTCCCTCTCTCTAAAAGTAAAATAAATAAAATGAAAATATGTGCTATTCTGGGAATGTGAAATTTCCAACTTGGGAAGAAAATGCCATATCCAAGCCAATGGACATCTCAATATTCATTCATTATAGTATTTTGAATTGCAGTGGAAATGAGTAAGTAGGAAAGGCAAACAATGAAGAGTTCAATAAATCGACTTAAAATTACAAAGAAAGAAAGAAGGAGGGAAGGAGAAAGAGAGGCAAGCATTAAAAATCTAATCCTGGAACATTTAAGTAAATTATTCCACTGCCATCTCACATGTGAGTCACATGGTTTTCAGCTTGGGCTCATCCACTGATGAGAGAATTACCAGAAGGGTTTTTCTTCACTGTTATGTGCTACCTCAACTGAATGGAAGGCAGCAGGAATCTGGAGCATTCTTGTAAACTGTAACTCATGATGGGAAATTCTTTTAATGATGAGGCAATTGAAGTTTCATTATGTCCAGGAACTCTGAGTAAGGCTCACAATACACCATTTAAAAATATATTTCCTATTATTCTCATTCATATTCTCTCTCTCTCTCTCTCTCTCTCTCTCCCCCCCTCTCTCCCTCCCTCTCTCTCTGTCTCTCTCTCTCTCTCTCTCTCTTTCTCTCTCCCTCTCTCCTCTCCCACCCCCCACCGAAGCCATATTGGCCTGTCGTTTTACTTTCTGTAAATTGCGAAATTATGTCAAGTTCTGTTTTTTTGTAAAAGCTTTTATTGAAAGGGGAGAAACCTGATGGCAGAATTTGAGGTATCTGGATTCTGAAGGTAAAACCATCTGAAATCTTTGTGATGATTTCAGGCGTTGGTTTGTTTTAAACCTTTTTAAAAAACAGTTCAGATAGCCCTGGCCGGTGGGTCAATTGGTTGGAGAGTCCTCCCGTACACGAAAAGTTGCTGGTGGATTCTGGTTAGGGCGCATACCTGTTCCATCCGTGGTCAGGGATCCTAGGGGAGGCAGCTAATCAATTTCTCTCTTCCGTCGATGTTTTGTTTTCTGTTTCTTTTTTCTCTTTCTCCTTTCCCCTCTCTCTCAAATCAATAAACATCCTAGGGAGAAGATTTTTTTAAAAACATAGTGAATGTTGATTTAATTACGCCTTTTTTAAAAGCTGATTTACAGGAAACCTCAGTGGCAAGTTTCACTTTCGGTTTCACGATTGTTTACCAGGGGAATCCGTTTAACATTTTAGGCTGAGATTTCCTTCAACTGACCCCATTGCGGCGCATCCTCTCCGCTGGGGGCGGGGACTGCAGCCCTTCCTCCACTAGAGCTCTTAGCGCGCCCGGTATTCGGCAGAGGCTGCTCCGCTGGGTCTGCTCCGCTGGGTCTCCTCCGCAGTTCCGGACGCAGCTGCCGATATCTGCGCGGACCGTGAATCTATCTGTCGCAGGTAGGGAGCGTTCTCCCCCCGCGAATGGTTCACTGGCCGGAATTTCTGGCTCTCTCGCTGGACACTTTTAAAGTGTATAGTATATAAACCCCTTTCCTTGAGATAGAGAGAGGGAAAAAAAGGGAATCACAATGGTTTGGTGGGAGGCAGTAGAGCCAATAACTTGTCAAGGTTAATAAGAACGGGTAACACGTTTGGCCTTTTGCTAGGCAGGATACGTTTTGATTAATGTCAAACTTGTAAGTATGTGCTTAAGCTCTGTGCATTCATAAATACGGTCCTGAGGTCAGCAGAGGGTCTAGAGGGAAATTTCTGGGCTGGAGATCGGGCCACACCTGGGTCCAGGCGTATGCTTAGTCCCTCACTAGCAGTGTGCTCTCAGTAAGTCAGCACTCCTGCACCATCTCCTAAGGTCCGTTCCTGCTGTAAGAGCCAGCATACTGGAACCTGAATTCTTTGCCCTGTCTGCTCTGGGTACTTGAGAAAGAAGAAAGGACCCCGGGGGCGGGGGGGCGAGGAGCCGGGGCGGGGGGGGGGGGGGTTAAATCATTTCTTAGACACAATGGCCTTGGTGTATGTCAAAGTACTGTTTGGGTTTGTTTTATAACACGGGGAATACTTCAAGTACCATTGTTCCACCTTGGTTTTTTTGCACCTAAAATAAATATATAGACATACTGTCGATGATTTTCTATTATATAGCCTTCTAAATGCGATTTTTTTTTAAATGGCTGTATTCTATGATGCTGGATAACCAAACAGAAATAATCCCCCATGTTCGGCATAAAGATTATTTGCAGTTACAGCAATTTACTCTTTTAGCCAGTCACTGGACAGTTTTGCATATAACTCTCTGGTACATGACTTATTATTTCCTTCAGGTAAACTTTTAGAAGCATGAACTTAGTCAAAGAACATGATTTTTTTTTTTTTAAGATTTTATTTATTTATTTTTAGAGAAAGCAGAAGGGAGGGAGAAAGAGGAGAGAAACATCAATGTGTGGTTGCTTTTTGCGCGCCCCCTACTGGGGACCTGGCCCGCAACCCAAGCATGTGCCCTGGCTGGGAGTCAAACCAGCAACCCTTTGGTTCACAGGCCGGCACTCAGTCCACTGAGCCACACAAGCCAGGGCAACAGCCTAAATATTTTAAAGGTCTTTTGATTAAATGGTGATGGAAGGAGACCTGACTTGAGGTGGTGAACACACAATACAATATACAGATGATGTACTTTAGAACTGTACACCTGAAACCTACTTAATTTTATTAACCAATGTCACCCCAATACATTTAATAATAAATAAAATGAAAATTGCCTTCCAGAAAGATTGTTCTAGTTCACATTGACAGTTGCCAGAAGTTTTAAGAAATAGCATACTCTGAAGAAACAAAATTGGCTTTTTTTTTCCCCCAGGGGAAGAGGGTAGACAGAGGTTATAGGAGAGCAGTTAGAGTGTGGTATTAAAGGACACCATAGAAATACTGTGGATAATTGAAACAGTACCTGGAAAAGGTGCAAGTGTGTCTCAGGGTCGCCACTAAAGGGAAGGAGTTTGGTCACAGGGTTTAAATGAGTTTAATAGAGTTTGATAGTTTAGTAAAGATTTAATAAGTCAATTCTCTTGATCTATTAATGGGGTGAATTTTCAGCTCACTTGGAGGCACATTATCAAATTCTAAGAACTTTTAAAAATCAAATTATAGTAAATCGGGTAAAAATCAAAGGAAACCCTAAACCAACAGATATCAAGACACCCCTTGCTCCTGCTTTTGAGAAACAAAGCTTGAATTCTTTCCCCGTCTCTTCCTCCTATCCATTCTACCCTTGGGAAGCAGAGAAGCAGTATCAGTTCCATAGTATTATACTGGGTTCTCCTAGGGACAAACCTGCTTCCCCATACTAAATGAACCATCACTTATTCCCTAGTTCACATTTCCTTGGTCTTTGAACATCTCAGTTCTTGTCTGAGAGTTCAGATACACATTGGCAAAATTAATTGTCATCCATGAGTGGATTTAATTAATGTCCCTCTGATTTATTTAACAGTTCTTTGCTTGGAGTTAGAGTTACCTTAAGTTTTCTTGTGCCCAATAAGCATATTTGTGTTTATAATAGAGCATTTGTATTTTATAATTGTGGTATATCAACTCTGACCCAAGAAAAGGATAGCTAAATAGCTGCTACAGAAGCCTCATGTCATAACTAGAAGTGTTTCCAGGCATTACCTGGGTTAAAGTGATAGAATAGTGGTTTTTCCCTTCTTTTCTTTTCTCATTTTGTGCAATGTGTTTATATTACTTTAATAATGAGGAAAAACTTAAAAATAAACCAATGTCATTATTTTACCTCATCTCAGGTGTTTGGGGTGCTGGGGTTCTTTTCATTATACTACTCTGGCAAATACTCTGCAGCTTGGCAAGGTGAAATGGTTTATTAAATGATTTTTTTTCTGAGAATAAAAGTAAAATATATACATTTATTTGAAAGACTCTAAAAAAATCATTCACAATCTTATCTCTCTTCTTTTCTCTTTTCTTTCATCCTTCCTTTACACACTGGAATACTACTTGGCTGTAAAAAAAAAAAAAAAAGAAAAGAAAAGAAAGAAAATTTTACCCTTTGTGAAAGTATGGATGGACCTGGAGAACATTGTACTAAGTGAAATAAGCCAGTCAGAGAAAGACAAATACCGTATGATTTCACTCATGTGGAATCTAATGTACAAACTAAACTAACAAGGAAAATAGAAACAGACTCATAGATAGAGAACAGGGTGGCAGCAAAGGTGGGGGAGGTTAGGGAGTGAGGGAGGGGACAAAGGAAAAAGGACTCATGGACATGGACAACAGTGGTGACTCTGGCAGGGAGGGGGATATAAAGGGACTAAATGGTGATGGAAACAATACAATAAACACTTTTGAAAAAATAAAATAAAAAATAAAGTATGGAAAGGTGAAAAACCTACCTATCTTCCCTCTAATTTTACTCCGAGAGTTAATCGCTGGCAATATCTTGATATGGCCTTTTCTGGGCTATGTTTAAACAAAAACACACACAGATTTTTTTTTTCTTTTTTTTTTAGGTGGATTTCTGCTACATACACTGTTCTGCAACTTTCTTCATCTCTGCACAATCTCTACCTTTACATGTACTTAATTATGTCTTTAGTTGTATTACATTGTATGACTATACCAAAATTTATTTGACCACTTGGGTTGTCTAGGGGATTCCCGGTTTGGGGCTAATATTAGCAATGCCATCGCTTTACATGTATTGTTATATGCATGTGTTTTTGTTTTTGTAGGATGTATTTCTAGAAAAGAAAGTGAAAACTTATATGACATATACATTTAAATTTTTAATGGAGACTACCAAATTGGTCTCCAAAAAAGTTTACACAACTTCATATTTCTTCATACTATTACATGGTAAGAGGTTCATATCCTCAAAAACACTAAGCGTTAGATATCTTTGTAATTTAAGTCAATCTAATAAATGAAAAGTGGTATCTCATGATCTCATGTCTTTTCTACTTTTTCTAAATTGGTGAGATTGAGCATTCTTTCCCTTGTTTAAATGTCATTTGCATTTCTTATTCCCTGAACTGTATGTTAGAACCTTTTATTCATTATCCTGTTGGGTTGTGCGTAGTTTTCTTAATTAATTTTTAGGAGCTATATATATTAGGAGCATTAACCTTCTGCCTTATATGTGTGTAGCATTGGTTAGTGGATCATTTGTGAGTTTTTGTATATATGCAGAAGTCAGAGAGACCCTAAGAGGGAGAACTGACTTCCTTCTCAAAGTTTATCAATGTATGTATAACACCAGAGAGAAACTATTTTATTAAACAAACAGGTTGGCTGAAATGCAATACAGATCTTCTTTATTTATTCCCTACTTGAATATAAGCTCCAGGAGGAGAATAAGTTTTCTGTCCTGTCCACTACTGCATCCCCAGTCCCTAAAATAGGGCCTGGCTCAGAGGAGGTGCTCAATCAATGTTTGCTGAGAAAGAATTGGGAGAGTTTCAAGCAGAGTAACAGAATGAAGAAAAGGCTCTAGGCAAATACCCCTGAAAGAGTGGCTGTGTGTCATTCACATGTTCATATCAATTAGTTAACTGTTTCTCCTCCTCATTGCCCCTGCTTCTAGTGGAATAAGTTTATTGCAGTGATAGGATTTATTACATGGCATAAGTGAAGGGCAGAAGAGGAGATTTTTAAAGGATGGCAGCTGGGAGAGAGCCGGCATCATTGGAGTAGTGATGTGGAAGGCTTGGATAGTTAATTAAAGGTTAATTGATAGTTAATATGATGAAAGTCTTCGGCTGCTGGGTGTGGGCCAGGGATGGGAAGCATTAAAAGGTAGGATGATGTGGAAGACAGACTCTCCTGGCTTTGAAATTTTGCATAGGGCAAGTTTGTATTTCCAGATATGTTCTAGTGCAGGAAAAAAACAGGAACTGAGTATTTTGGTGAAGTATTTTCTTCTTGGCTTCTTTTGAGTGTACAGTGAACGTTCTCTGCAAGGCCTGTAATTAAATTTTAAAATTCTCATCATAGTAGCTTTTTAAAAATTTTATTTTTATTGTTGACACTGTTACAGATGTCCCCATTAGCTCTCCCATTGCCCACCTCCACCCAGCCCTTTCCCCCTTCTCTTGGCTGTCACCGCACTGTTGTAGCAACTTTTTAAAAATTTGGCTTTAAATGGTTCTGGGATATTAAGTGACTATTGAATTTCTAAATTGTCTGCTGCATTTCTACACTTACAAGTGAGTCATTGTATAGTTATCACAAGACTATTTCAATTAGAACATCCACGTTCCATACAGTCTGGGTATTTAATTATTGAGTAAAGCAGTTTTCTTTTTGTATTTTCTATAATTAGGTGATTTCAGAAAAATGAGGCTACTTAGTAGTGTTATACTCATGACCTACTGTCATTTGTTGAAAGGTAAGACACCAGATCTTTCATTATATTTCATATTTTAAATATTTTAACCATAAGTTAAAAATTGGTGAAAGACAAATACCATATGATCTCATTTATAAGAGGAATTAAATGAATCACCTAATGATGCATTTCTCAAAGTAAACTAATGGCCAAAATAGAACCAGAGGTATAGAATCATGGAATAGACTGACAGCGGTAAGAGGGGAGGGGGGAAGTGGGGACTGTTCAAAAGAGGGTGAAGGGATTAGTCAAAGAACATGTATGAAGGACCCATGGACATGGAAAATGGTGTGGGGACTGACTAGAAGTGGGAGGTGGGCTGGGAGGAGGGGATGAAGGGAGACAAACTGGGACAACTGTAATTACATAAACAATAAAAAATACTTTAAAATGGATATAACTTTTAATAGTACATTCTGTTTTTTCTTCTTTATTTCACAAAGTCATATCATTGGACAAAGATTTAGACAATATGGACAAACTGAAAGAAACAAAATTAACTCATTATCCATTATCCATTTCTCACGTATAATCACTGAAAACATCTGGGGAAATAGCCTATGATGTTGTTTGTTTTAAACAAAGGAAGGATCATTTTTATCCACCTTGCTCTGTGACCTGCTTTTCCCTGAAGAGTATATTCTAAGGAAGAATTATGGAAAGTGTCATGGTAACAATAGTACTAGTCTCATCCTAAGGCCCTCCCTAAATCTCCACACCCACATACCTCTGGCCAGACAACCGATTAAGAGTTTGGGGCAGTTAAGTAGAAAGGACTACAATCATTTGCTGCAAAAAGACATTTTATTCGGTCAATGATGGACTGTATAAACCACAGTGGTCCCTTAAGATTATAATGACACTGAAAAATTCCTATCACCTAGTGATGTCATAGCCATCATGATGTCTCAATGCAACACATTACTCACATGCTTGTGGTGAGTTTGGTATAAACCTACTGCACTGACAGTCGTATAAAAGTATATAGCACATACAATTACGTAGAGTACATTATACTTGATACTGATAATAAATCACTGTTACTCGTTTATTTACCATGTTATACTCTTTATTGTTATTTTAGAGTGTACTCTTTCTACTTAGAAAAGTATCTAAACATTATGTCATGCTGGGCCAACAGCAGCCTCATACGTCTTGTGTCTACCATGTCTCTTGAGTACATCATTTTCTGTTGTGCTTGTTTTATACAGTAGTAACATGTTGTACAGGGTTGTAGCATAGGAGCAATAGGCTATATCACGTAGCCTAGATATGTAGTAGGCCATACCATCTAGATATGTATAAGTGTACTCTGTGATGTACACACAACAACAGAATCACCTAATGGTTCATTTCTCAAAATATATCATTGTTGAGCAGCACATGACTGCATTGGTATCTGTTATTCAGATGATACAGAAGGCAAATCGGTGTCCAGTCAAAGGACACTCTGGGCATGTCCACATGAAACAAAGTCATCAGGTTTTAAGTACTTCATCACCATATATTTTTATAATGTATATTTATGAATTTAGGGACAACAATTTGTTAGCCAATTTTATTATTTTAACTCAGGGATGAGATATAGCATCCCAAAATATGTCTCAAACCCACTGGATAAAATATGTATTTTAAGGAAGTAAGTCCTTAAACATAATTATCACATAAGTGACCGGGTAAACTATTTGTAAACCATGTACTTATTCTGTAAATTTTTTGAGGGATTTTCCACATTCTGAGGATTGGTCATCTTTCTTTTCAGCATTCACTATCTCAGTGACCCAGGACGTGTATGTGGTAGAGTATGGCAGCAATGTGACAATGGAATGCAAATTCCCAGTAGCAAAAGAGTTAAACCTGTCTGCATTAGTTGTCTACTGGGAAATGGAGGATAAGACAGTTATTCAATTTATAAATGGGACGGAAGACCTGAAGGTTCAACACAGTAGCTACAGCGAGAGGGCCCATCTGTTGAAAGACCAGCTCTTTTCGGGAAAGGCTGCACTTCAGATCACAGATGTGAAACTGCAGGATGCAGGTGTATACTGCTGCTTGATGAGCTATGGAGGCGTCGACTACAAGCGGATTACTTTGAAAGTCGATGGTAAGAATTATTATAGATAAAGAGGCCCAACCTTTATTAAAATCATATTCCAGTGCTGATAACTTTTCATTCTTTTAAGTTCGTTCTTACTGTCCACAGCAGCATTCTGTTCATTCATTTATTCACACTCTCATCCAATGAGCATTCCTTGAGCACCTCCTATCTGAGAGTCCCCAGAGAGCTGGAGCCAAACATGACAGAGCCATGTTCCACAGTATGTTCAGTTTTCCTAAAAATAGATTCTTTATTTTGTTATTATAAAAGTATACATGTGCTTGCAAATAACTCAAATACTATGAAAGAGAATAAAATGAATTACAAAAGTGCCCCTCCCCCCTTCGCCACTGCCTCCCATGGCATGCGGACATAACTAGGTGATCACTATCTGTGTGTTCCCTCCAGGGTTGGTTTGTTTTTTTTTTAATTCAGCTACTATTTTTATTTTATTAGGTCTGCCAGCATTTTCCTTCCTTCGAACCTATGTCAAACCGAAATAAATGTGTTAAAAACAAACCTCACTATAAAGTTCACATTTAAAAAGTCTTGAAGTCAATTTATGAAGGTAAAAAATAAGTATAGAAGAAACTATTCTTCCTTAGAGACGGTATAAACTGTGCTCACTAGGCATTCGTCTTGAAAATCTCGGAGTGTTAAAAAGGAACTGTGAGTGACAAATTCCTGGGTACTGACCCACAAATATGTCACCAGAACCCATGGGTTCCAAGTTTGGGTGGCTGCTATCTAAGTAAAGGAAAACACCTTAGCTGAATGACTACCTCTGCTTTCACTGTTAAGATTCCTAGAATTGAGCTGAAGGGATCCCAGGCAAGAGCCGCTTATCCAAGGAACAGAACAGAAACTCCCCAAAGGGTATTCTGCTCACATACTTCCCACAATGACACTCATGTCATCTGGATCTCCCTTCCATAGCCTATTGAAATTACTTTCTGATATTGAACTGAAACCTGCCCTCTTACAGTTTTGAACTTACCTGCCTGTTACTTTTTTTTTTTTTAACTTTTTACTACATGACTAGAATTTAATCATCATCCCTTGGTCTTTCCATTCCTGGGATAACTACCATCATTCTGAAGGCCAATAAGTAAAAAAATATCTGAATTTATCATAAAGGGATAACTGATAATTATAAACCCAAAGTCAAAATTATATAAGAATTAGGAGAAATGCATCTATTTTATGGTACATTACTGGATCTCTGATTCTGGTTCAGTTAGTGCTACTGTTGTCAAGAAAATGTCACTTGTGTTCTGAAGTAGATTTAATTTTAATTATATTTTACCATATGCTTCTCCAGAACAATGACATTCATGAAAAGAAAATGGGATTCCAACTTGGGATTTTCAACTTTTCTTCAGTCTATCAGCAAATATCAGGCACTTACTGTGTTTCAATGTATAAAAGAAATTACTAAAACTTAATCCTATAAACAGCCAGCAGTGCTAGGTCTGGGGGGCGGGGCCGGGGGGGTGGGCAGAGAGCAGAAGCCTGGCAGTCAGGCAAAGGGAAGTATAGAGTACAAGTTTCTGCTTCCAGAAAAGGTCTCACATTAAACTGTAGGGAGTATGCAGAGAGTGGGACAGCTGTCCCTATAGTGAGGAAGATGTTTCTCCGGGTCATCTGGGTTCTGTGCTGCCCTTCTTGGATCTGCAATTTCTTCTCCTGTGGTTTGACACAATAGGAAATCTCTCACTCTGATGGTTTTTCCAAGGAGGGATCTCTGGTGGAGTAAGGCAGATTACCAACATCTGATTCATTTGACTATTCGATTTTGTATTGCAAATTACTAAATGGACTTCCTACTCCCCATCCATCATGTTGTCAAACAGTGGTCTTCAGAATGAATTGAGCTTCACTGAGAGCAAGCCAGCCTCCAACTTTCAATTGAGGTGGTGTCAGCATTAGAAGTTTGGTCTTTAGGCCATGAGGCTGGCAATTCAAGGAAGTTCTGAGTCACCTCCAATGCAAATGATTTCAGAGTAACCCTAACAGGGCTTCTCTTCCCATCACTAGGAACATGTGGTAACACAGCTTCCCCGCAGGGAGTTTACAGCATTTTAACAGTGAGACATTTCAAAACTGAAATTTGGGAGTTTCATTTTGGATGAACTCAATTATTGTCACTTTGGGCGTGGGTATTATTGTACTTTTCATGTTCTTTAGTTTAAATACCAGACTTTCAGGCATCTGACTTTCAATTGAAAATGTTGTTTTCCCTTAAACATTGAACCTAATGGCAGAGAAAATGAAGGCCCTTTTATACTTTCAAGACCTTAACTGGGATTGGGCATCTAAAAGAACAAATATTGCATAGATAATTTGATAAAGCTAATTTGTTCCTGTGGACCAAGGGTTAACTGCTATCATTCCTCATCAACCCCATCTCTCCTCCAAATTTAGTGACCAGACCTTTGAAAGTTTTCTGTATAGTATTTATTCTCCATCTAATGTATCATACAACGTATCATGTAAGTGAATCTATTCTGTATATTGTCTTTCTCCTCCTCCTAGAGCATATACTCCACAAAGACAGAGATTTTAGTCTGTTTTATTCATTGCTATATCCCTAGAACTTGGCATATAAGGGTAGTAGCATGAAAAGAGCACACAAAAAATTTGTTGAAGGAATGAATGAAATATTTTCTCAAATAGGATAAACCTAAACACTTTGAAACATGAACAGGTTTGGATATTTGAAAATTTATTTCCAAGGCTGTTCATCAGGAACTGTCAGTGCTCTCTCATGAGTGTACTTCAGTGGTAGTACTAAGAGGAGGAGGCGCTCTGGTGGTAATAGTAGCAGTTGTTAACACCTATGAGTACTTTCTATGCGCTGTACCCTATCCTAAGCACGTTGCCTATACTAACTGTTAATCCTCAAATGACTTTATGGAGTAGGGGCTTCATCATGTCTGAGATGCATGGTTTTTTACATTTTATATCTGTGAAATCTGAGACTGTCCGTCTATACTGTCATCTTAGATTCAAGGATATGTGGTGTTATTCTTGTTTTATGGATGAGAAAACTGAGGTTCAAAGAAATGAGATAATTTGCCCACGTTTACACAGCTATGAAGTGGTGAAGCCAGGTTCTAACCTCAAGCAACTTGGCTCTAACATCTGCACCCTTAACAACCAAATTTTACTGCCTGTGTTTATACTTCTGGAGTGTGTATAGAGTTGCAGATTGACTTCAAAACTACCATAAACTTTTCTTGGTCTTGATGTGAGGGTTGCATTGGATCTAGTGTTCTAGATCTAGTAAACCAGGAGTCTGCATATGTTTTTGTTACCTACCCCATCAGTAAAGCATGTTAAACTAGCGCATGCATGCGTGTATGCATGTATGTGTAGTGATAGGGAATATATTATGCTAATATGTAGGTTATATTATAAGAAATGGACATTTTTAAATGGCAGAAGAAATTGAACATTACCAATTTCATGTGGTTCAAATTAGTACTTTATACATTCTACAATGTATAAAAATAGAAATCGAAAAGGGTGAAAAAATTTAATATTTTCAATTTCTTGCTAATTATGATGTTTGACTATCATTAGCTAATATTTTAAGGCATAATATATCTTAGATGAAATTCATCATTTATAAAGGTCTTAATAACCTTGAGGTTTTATTTTAACCAATAACTTACCAGGTTCAATTAGGTACTTATTCTTTTAACTCATGAAGTGATAGTAGAAAGTGTCACTCTGACATTTCCTTTTGGTTTATGCTTGAATTATTAGTATTATCTTTAATCCTCACTTTCTTTAGGGAAAATTTGTATTTAGTTTTTTTATTTTGTAAGCAGATTAGTTTAGTTAAAATTAGTCAAGAGAATCTGAAAAGCTATACTAAGCTCAAATAAGTTACTCTTCTCCCTTTAGTATTAGAAAACTCCTCTCTCCCCACAAGACCCACAAAGACTCATGTGGCACACAAAATGAGGGCCGGTGTCAATCAGTTAAGCTTAGATTATTTCTTAATTGTTATGATAAAAATACATATAAATGGAAGTTCTAAAATTTTCTTTCTGTACCCCAATACATGTGCCCCACTTTAGAGACTAATATAGTGGACATTTAATCAAATGACTAGAATGGATTCATTCATTTATTGGGTCCTTCTATGTGTACCCCATTTATATATATACCTAGTCATGAAATGACATTCTCCTTTATCCTTATACCATTAAAAATGGAAAAGTAAAAAAGCAAATGTTTTACCTTTAACACTTTATCATTAACTGTGATTTTAGGCTTGAGATTTTAATTGTCCAGAAATCAAGCTATGTGCTATATGAGCTAGATTCTGTTATGATAATGTTATTTCATAAAGTGTAGTAAGTGGATTTGTTTTTTTATGATTCTTACACATAACAGATACAAGGTTGAGGACATGAGTATTCATAGGAACCACTAAGTGCTTTCAAATTGAGATTATGTTGATTTTCAGTGTTTTCATTTGTGGTTTTATTGATTTAAGAGCACAGAAATATCACATCATTATTTCAGTTTTGCTTGCTCCTGGCTGTATTAAATCTCTGTGAATATCACAAAACCACTGTTATAACCATGTTAAAGGAATACAAAGTTAAGGCTCCAGGTGGACCAGTGGTAGTTAACACAGAAGTATTCGAAGTAAAATAAAGATTATACGAACAGAATAATAACATGATAACATGCTTGTAATGGATAAACATAAGTAAAGATCTTAGGTAATATAAATAGTAGTCAGTACACTGGGTATCTTAATAATAAAATGGTCACAAACCAATGATCTAAAATTTAATCAAACTATCTTCCTTGAGAACAGTTATTTAAATGATGTATTAAAATAGCCAGCATAAAAAAATTAAAAAGCAAGTATTATAATGTGGTATTCTAGATGAGATCCTAGAACAGAAAAAGACATTAGGGAAAAACTAGTGAAATGAAACAAAGTGTGAAGTTTAGTTAATAGCAACATACTAATGCTGGTTCCTTCACTGTAAGAAATGTACCATGGTGAAGTAAGATGTAAACAATGGGGGAAAGTGGGTGAAAAGTATACATAAACTCTGTACTATCTTTGAAACGTTTTGGTAAATTTAAAACTATTTTAATAACAATATATTTAGACCTTAAAAAGTTTTATCCAAGAACGTGTGTCAGTTTTTACAATGACATCATACTGTTTTCATACCTAATTTCTGATCATTGACCTAAAGCTGAAAAAGTGAATGGCCTTCAGAATCAGGTTTTTTGTTTATTAATTAGTCTAAGAAACTAATACTGGCCAGCTGGAGAGTCATGTTTATGAAGATGGCATTATAATAACAAAAACAAAATATCCAGGAATAAATTTAAGAAGAATGTGCCCCATGTATTTAAAAACTATGAAACTTTACTGAGAAACATACTAAGACTTGAGTAAGTAGACAGACATATTTTATATTTGGATAAAAAGACTACTGGTTTAAAGATGACAGTACTTTTAAAATCAATCTACATATTTACTCTGAGCCCAATAAAAATAGCAATATATTTATAGCAAGCTAGTTATTTTTAAGCCCAAATTTGGCCCAAGTATGAATAGAAGAGGTGAAGCAGAACTAGCAGGGGTCCCCCACTGCTGAAACATCTGAACATTAAGCTTATTTCTATGAGAACCGGCCTGGATCTCTAGCCTTTCTAATGTGGACAACACCAAGCCACACATCTAGTTCTGTGCTGAGTGAAGCCCTGACTTTTCTTCTTTTGCTCATGACGTAGCCCCATACCGCAAAATCAACCAAAGAATTTCTATGGATGCAGCCACCTCTGAATATGAACTAACATGTCAGGCTGAGGGTTACCCCAAGGCTGAAGTCATCTGGACAAGCAGTGACCATCAAGTCCTGCATGGCAAAACCACTATCACCAATTCCAACAAAGAGGAGAAACTTTTCAATGTGACCAGCACGCTTAAAATCAACACGACAGCTAATGAGATTTTCTACTGCACTTTTCGGAGATCAGGTCTTGAAGATAACGCTACTGCTGAGTTGGTCATCCCAGGTAATATTCTGAATGTCTCAATGAAAAATGTGCCTGGTGCTATCCCGGTGGCACCAAGCATGATGCCTGCTCATTGTAGGCATTCAATTGTTTGTTGAATAAATAGTACTATATTTACAAAATGCATCCTGCTTCCTCACCTCCATTCATCTAAGACATATTGCTATTTAATAAACATTCAGTATATAGTTATAGACTATGGCCTACATGCCAGGTATTGAGGGCTCATAGAAGAATAAATTTACATTCTTCAGGGAACAGATAAGAAAACAGGTGATCTCAGTTTCACCCATGCAAGAAATGCTCTTGTGGCTGGGGGATCTGGGGAAGCACCTGAGAGGGATACTCAACTCAGGCCGTGTTTCAGGAATTCAAACCTGAGCATATAGAGCAACTCTTTTCTTTCCAGGATTCCTATGGCAAGAAGCAAATGGAATGTACTTTCCTATTTTATTCCACATGGGAAAGGTCCTTCCTCCCCATCTGCCTTCCCCAAGGTAGCCTATGACATTCCAACTCAAGGTGATGTGCTTAGTGCATAGGACATAAGGCTGTGTGTCCCTGGGCAAGTTACTCAACTTCTATATGCTTCAATTTCCCTATATGGTTATAACCTGTTGGGCAAAATTATCATAGGAATAAATGAACTACAGTGTATGACAATGATTTGAGACTCTTGCCTAAACAAATTTGGCTTTTTTTTTTTTTTCCTCCCTACCCTACAGAAGTGGATAAAGTGAGTAAGGTAGGATACAGCCTGGTGAAAGGCTCAGACCTTTAGAAAAAGTGAGGTGGATAAGCATGATATTAACATAAAACCAGAGGTATTCTGAGAAGTGCTTCTCACCATCCTTTCCCCAACTAGATGTTGACAGTAAAGCTTCAGGTACTACAGAGAAAACAACCAAAAACTGGGTAGAAAAGTCAAGCAATAGTGAAATACAGTCCAGGATGGTCATATGAATAAAAGGAACAGAAAAGCTTTTTTAGATAATAAGAGACGCTCTTACTGGGGTATGAGTCAGTTTGGTAGGAGCTGCATTAGTGGGTTCCTGCCATTTAACAGATGTTTTATGACAACGTTTTTTGGGATGATGTAGGATAACTCACCTAATTGCTATGAGTCTATTTCCTCATAACCTGAGGATTAAAAAAAATCCCTGGCACACCTAACTCAAACTTATTTTGAGGCTCAAAATAGATAGGAACTGGTTTTATGGACCCTAAGCTATTAGACAAAGGCTCATTGCTGTTGTTGCTTTAAAACATGAACTAGGTAGTCAGGGATCATTGACTAATGCGGGGGAGGTTAGCAGTCTCTGAGCATCGTGTGCCATGGGACCACAGACAGATGAGGAGATTGGTGAGAGGTACTAGTGATTAGAAGTCCTGAGATTCAGACTGTGGAAAAAGGAAAGATAAGTATTGATCCCTGATCATCACCACGGACAAAGAGGTAATCCTTTGGCAGTTCTAGTTGGCCTTCATGTTTCATCTCTGCCATGTACTTTAGGCTATTAACTTCTGTATTAAAAAAGTGAAGAGAAAGTGAAATAATCAAGGCTGCCGCTTGATTATTTCCCTGTGGTACAGTGCTAAGCACTCTACAAACATAAGCCTCAGAAAAGTATTATTGTTTTCCATTCTGCAGACTGGTTAAAGAACTTGTCAGAGATGTCAATGCTAGTGAGTGGCAGCAGAATTTAACCCCAGGTCCACCTGTCCAAAGCCTGGGCTTCCTCTACTTTTCCATGCTGCTCTCATTTTCATATAGGAGGTATCTCACCATTCCAGCCACTCACTGGCCAGGAACTTTTGCTATTTAGGAAAATTAACGTAGGCCCTGGCTGGATAGCTCAATTGGTTAGAGTGTTGTTCCAATACACCAAGGTCGCAGGTTCAATCCCCAGTCAGGGCACATACAAGAATCGACCAATGACTACAGGAATAAATGGAACAACAAACCGATACCTCTCTCTCTCTCTTTCTCTCTCCCTCTCTAAAATAAATTTTAAAAATTAAAAAAAAAAATTAACCTAAAGCTAACCTCAGTTAATTTCAAGGATAATTATTCTCTTGACCCTTCCCTTTATATCAAAATTTTATTTTTAATTTCTTTCTGTTTTGTGTTGTTTTTCAGAACCATTAAGAGATCCAGGGAGGACTCACTTGGCAATTCTAGGAGCTCTCCTGGTGACACTTACAGCCCTGGAACTCATCTTCTGTCTACGAAGAGATGGTATTTCTTTTATCACACGGGTCTTTACTGAGGATGTGGGGAATTGCATGGGAGTGCTATTGTTATCACAATGGTACTATTAGGCAGAGCCAAGGATGCTCAATCTTCTGTAATGTGCAGGGCAGTCCCACATAGCAGGGAACAGTCCTACCCAAAATTCTAATGGTGCTCCCACCAGGAAACACTGATTTACACAATGTTGCCTTCTTACTGGCCTTTTTTTTTTCAGAGCCAGTTTTCAATGATGCAAGGTAGATTTTAGCCATGCCACCATGTGAACCTGTGCATCATCTCTCCTCCAGTCCTGCTCATTTCACTGCTCAGCAGCATTCCCTGCGCTGGAGGGCAGCAGTGAACGCTGTGCTGTAGTAGCATTTTTGAGGGAGTGATAGTTGGATCATGACTGCAGAGGAACCTGACTTGCCTCTGCAAGGTGGCATAAAAACACTCCACTGTTGAACAGCAGTTACAGTGAAGCTGAGCAGGATTGCTGGGTCCTTGTGTACAGGACCCAAGTGTACAGGAGTGAGAAGTGGGAGGAGAGTATAAGAGATTGAAGAAGACCAGTGTCATATAGTTCGTTTCTGTTATACAAGTAACCACAGACTTAGAGGAGAGAAAAAGCAAAAATACCTGTTGATTTGGTTGAATTTGCATCTTGTATTAGTTGCATTTTTATATTTAGCTGGATTCTGGGCACCCTAAGTTAAAAAAAAAACTTCCTTCTGTAGAGCTGTGATACTTTTACCATAGAGTATTTTACAGGGCATTATGTCATTTTCAAAATAATTTGCACATGTTTCTCTTTTTACCTTTGGCAACAATTAAAATGCAGGAAAATGAGTCTATTCACATCATTTCTTCGCATTTTAAGATGACTCAGAGAAAACATTTCTCCAGTACTTTAAAAGTATAGCAAAGGATCCAATGACAGTTTGCATAAAGTTATCTGATGTCATATAGGGAAGTAGAAAATGAAAGGGGATTCCATTAGTTATTGAGAAATTCCCCACAACCCCTTAGGAAGGTGGGTGGATCTGGGGAAGTAGTGTAATTGAGGGAGTGAAGGTTGCTGATTGTAAAGACTAAGTAAACAGTTAACAGAACAGAAACAGTCAAAATATAAGGATCATGTTTTAATGATAGCAAGATCCTGAGCTGGAGTTGATTTGTCCAAGGAAGTGACTGTTACCAACTTGTATTTTGAATATTTTCCTGTAGAAAGTAATGAGTTGACATTAGAAATGGCTAGAAAACCAATGCGTAACAAAGCACCTCAGTATATGGTACATCTCTGAGGGAAGGATGGAAAATAAAAGTATATACTCCTAAAGAAAATCTAGAAGCAAAAGGATATGCCCTGAACTGTTGAATTAACCTCAGGGGCTGAGACCTGTGAAATAAGGAAGTCTACTAGATTTCCCAAGGGATTAAAAATGTTTCCTAGGAACCTGGAATTTAAACTTGAGTCACTGTGTAGGAAGGATGTGGAGTTGTGTTTTGTGGAAATGAAAATGATTTTTTTTTTTCAAGTGAGAATGATGGATGTGGAAAATTGTTGCCCTGGAGGCATGAACTCAAAGACACAAAATGGTAAGAATATTAGCAGGGATTGAGAAGTTGATGGACAAGGAAACAAAAGCCTAAAGCAATAACAAGGAGAAATCTATCAGCCATAATCCCTCTTCTTTTTAAAGAATGCTAGTGTTGGAACTGCAAGCTTCTTTTTGCCTCACGGCTCTAATATGAGAACTCCTTTCCCCACAGTCTGAGAAAATTTAGGGGTGGCCTGCTGAGTAAAGAATGATGAGCAACTTTGCGTGTGTGTTGGGGTGGGGCGGGGCTGGGGAAGGGGCTCCGGGAGGCTTGAGCTGGAGAGGAGACGGTTTCTCTCTGCTCTGTTTCTATTGCTTTTCATCCTAACTCTTCTCTGCAACTGGGGACAAAGTTGACTTATGTAGATGGGAAATAGGTCAATAGAAGTTGTATGTCAGAAACTGTGTTAATTGCTTCATGTAAAGTACCTCATTTAATTCCCTCCCACCCCTCAAATCATGGAGATAAATGCTAGGATTATCCCCCATTTTATAGTAGAGAATACAGGGCCAAGAAGATAATGTAAATTGCCCCAAAACACACAGCTGGTAAGTGAAAAAATCAGGCTTTGAGGCCCACTATCTTGACTGTAGAACCTTAGTCTTAACCTATCTGCTTAATTCCATTTTGCTACAAATGTCTGAACGTATAAAAGGCCAGAAGGACCTCACCCAGCTGGTTGAACAAAGAAGAAATTTATATTAAGGTTTTCAATTCTTTTTAATGGGGTTAGAAACTAAACTTCACAAGAAGCCCAAGTTTAAAGTAGTCTGATTAGCTTGGACAAGCTCAGGAAGTGTTCATCATGTGGTTTCATAGCCCTGCTCTGTGCTGTTAAGCTAATTGGTGTATGCTGTTTGAGTCATCCTAGGATCGTCAGCCGCCCCAATTTGCCCGGGACTGAGTGTTTTCTCAGGACATGGGACTCTCAGTTTTAAAATCAGGACAGTCCTGGGCAAACTGGGATGATCAATCACCCTTTGTCAAGTATAGGTATTTGGGCAAAAATAAAATAGTCTTCTTTATCTTCTTGCAAATGTATTATACATCTAGCAAATGTAAAATGTTTCTCCTTATTACTCTCCAGATACACAGTTCGAGGAGACGTAATCCAGCATTGAAACTTCTGATCTTAAAGCAGGGATTCTCGGCCTGTGGTTTGGGTTCATCAGGGCCGAGCATGTGGTGACAATGGGCTGGCAGGCTGCAGGCAATGCAGGACTTAAAAGAATGGTGGAGTTAGAAAGTATAGCCTGGAAGGAAACCTCGATACCTCAATGACTGGGAGACTCATCTGTGCCTATGAAAGGGAGAAAGGATGCTTCTGAATGACAAGCCTCCATGCAAATTGTCCATTGCTCATCCTAGGAAAGCAGGTTGAGATTCCCTGATTTAATGGTCAGTTCCTGCAGAAGTGCCCTTTGCCTTCACCCCATACCTTGCATTATCTCCTGTATGATTAATAGTCCCAGTGTTGCAACAGAATTTAAGTATGAGTTATTTCTATTTATTGTGAGTCTTTGGGGTCTTGTCATGTGAGTTGGTTATGCATAATTTCTTTTGAAGATATTTTGTAGTGTAAGTTAAAATTGTGTCACCAAATTATACTCAATGTTTTCATGTGTCCAGTAAAATGTATACTATTTGTAAGGTCCTTTGTATCCTCTGTAACTATTGATACATAAGAAGTACATAAAACAAAACATTGGTTTGTATAGGATATTACCCTATTTAACTCATTGCTACTTTGGATGACTTGAATAATCTTATCCTGAGACCACAAATGTTTCAATAATCTTACTCTCAGACCTCAAGGTAATATACATTACCATAGTATCTGTTGCATTTAAATATCAGCTTTACAACTATGTGGTATCCTACATACATAATTTTATTTAATCCCTATAACAAATGTGTTGTGGAAAACTTGATTTTTATCCATTTCAGAGTTGCAGGAATGATAAATGGCAAACCTCAGATTTCTAGGACTGTTACTACTGTCCTTTTAGAATACAACCTACAACAGTGTTTTACTTTAAGAAATTCATTTTTAAAAAAAGAAGAAGAAATTTATTCATTCAACAAACATTTAAGAAATGGCATTGGGTGTCCATCACTGTGCCAGACAGTGAGCCTACAGATGTGAGCAAGATAAAGTACCTTCCCTAAAGGATCTCCTAGCACAATGGGGAGGTTGATAAGAAAATGTATTATCAGAGAGTGACTAGATTAACAGCTGAAGGAGACAGCCACAGACAGTTGATTCCTGGAAGTCTCAAACAGCCTGCCTAAGGTCACACAGGAACAAAATCTGACATCATCAGAGGCAGATCCAGAAAGAAAAAACAGCAGTCTCCTACCATAGAAGTTCACACCAGAAGGTCAGAAAATCAAGACACATCAACTTACGAAGCAGAAGCAAAGAAGAAGAGTCTCACAAATAATGGGAAGACAAAGAAATACCCCCCATTCAAAGGGAAAGGAGGAATCCCCACAGAGAACTAAATGAAATAGAGGCAAGTCAACTATTAGATACCGAGTTCCAAATGATGGTTTTAAGGAAGCTCAATGAGCTCAGTGAGCTCAGAGAGAATTACCAAAAACTAGAGGGGAAACTATGAGGAACTTACTGCAAACTATATCACCATGAAAAAGGACATAGAAACTATCAGTAAGAGACAAGAGGAAATGAAGAATACAATTTCTGATTTGAAGTGCACAGTAGAAGGAATCAAGGAGGCTAGGTGAAGCAGAGGATCGAATCAGCGAGTTGGAGGACAAGGTAGACAAAAGCTCCCAGAAAGAGCAAGAAAATGAAAAAAGACTCAGAAAGAATGAAGAGACATAGAGGGAAATGCAGGACAACCTGAAACACAATAATATCTGTATAATAGGGATACCAGAAGGAGAAGAGGATGAGGAAGCCATAGAGAACGTGTTTGAAAAAGTAACGATAGAAAACTTCCCTAATTGAAGGAGAGAAAGTCACACAAGTCCAGGAAGCACAGAGGGTCTCATTCAAGAGAAGCCCAAGGAGGCCCACTCCAAGACACATCATCATTAAAATGGCAAATATGAAAGGCAAACAGAATTCTAAAGGCAGCAAGGGAGAAAGTAGTAACATATAGGGGAGCCCTGGTATGGCCAGCAGCTGACTTCTCAACAGAAACACTGCGAGCCAAAAGGGAGTGGCAAGAAGTAATCCAAGTAATGAAAAGCAGAGGCCTGCAACCAAGACTGCTCTACCCAGCAAGGCTCTCAATGAAAATGGAAGGTGAAGTAAGGAGTTTCCCAGACAAAAAAACGGCTAAAAGAATACACCTCCACCAAACCAGCACTGCAAAATATGCTAAAGGAATTGCTTTAAGATGAAGAAAAAGAGTCTATGAACACCCAGTTCCTTTCACAGTTGCTAATACTTGATATTACCAATATTTTTTAACGTATATTAATCTGATTGTGACAATGATGTATTGTTTTAATTGTTCCTTTATTATTTGTTGAAACTAAACCTGTTTTTGTATATTTCTTGCCTATTTCTATTATTTTTAAAAAGCTTTAAATGACTTTTGGTATTCTTTTATCCACTTTTTGATTAAATGTTTGTAGAATTTTTTCCCTAAAAAACAAAACAAAACAAACCATTAACCCTCTTTTAGATGTCTGGCAAATACTTTCCTATTCTATTACTTGTCCTTTAACTTTTTTATATGTATATTACTATACAGTCTTAAATGTTTAATATAGTCATATAGTCAATATTTTACTTTATAGCTTCTGGGTTTGAATATTTTACTTCAGGGTAAGAAAAATATTAGTTTATATTTTCTCCTAAAACTCCTTAGATTTTACATATTGATTTTTAACTCACCTGAATATTTCTTGTATAATGTGTGAAATCAGGGTCTATATTTATTTTATTTTAGGTAGTTGTGGTCCATGCACCTTATTTGTTGAATAAGCCGTTTTTACCCGTTGATTTGAAATATCAACTTAATCATATATTACGTTATTAGACAGATATATACGTTTGTCTCTAGAATGCTCATTGTATGTCATTGATCTACTTGATTATTTCCGTGCTGGTGTCATGTTGGTTTAATTGCTGGATTGATGACAAAGAAAACCTTGTTTGCTTTTTCACATGTGAAGACTGACTGAAGAAACAGAATCTCCAACAGAATGTCTTCTGTTATCTTTTTGCACATGTTTATTTGTACAATATCCCTTGTTTATATGAGGTACAAGCTAGGATCCTGGCTGAGCAAGACATACAGCCTATTCAGTCTACTCCTAAGTATTAATGCCACTTCATGGTGTAGGATTCATAAAGCACTTTATCCCTTTGTCATGTGTTTCACTGTAAATGCCATAGACACAGATGATATCTAATTCTACATTTAATTTTTACCATATACACCTGTATTAATTAATAAAATACTATTTATTGTTTCCAATGTACCAGTATGACCATTTTCTTATTTTCCACATGCTTTAGAAAACCACTCCTAGTTTAACATGCCAGCGTAAACAGTTACTTGAAAGATCTAGAGCCACTTTGCTAGTTCTTTTCATAGCTTCTGCATTTACACAGCATACCCTTGAATCCTGCATGATGAAAAATAGGAAAAAGTTATTTTTAAAAGAACATATTGAACGTTTTTATTCTTCCCCACTCAATAGCTTCTTTTAGGACAAAACCAAAAAAGAAAACAGAAAAAGTCAAAATTATGTCATCCAATTGAAGATCTCAGGGGTGGAGGGTGGAAGAGAAGGAGTGGCCAAGAGAACTCTAGGGAAACAAAGGGGCTTTCCTTTACGAGAGCACTCTTCTCGGATCAGTAAACATGGATATGTGAGACAACGCATATGAAGCTGGATGTATTTCAGTCTTCAGTTTCTGAAAAGGAAGTGAGAAACCTAGAATGAAGCCAAGTTGATTGAGGCCTAGTACGGTCCTCATAGGAAGACTTATAGTTGTAAAACAAAATGACAACACTTGTCATTCAAGGAAGTATAGAACTTTTAATGTATCATCTACCTTAATCAGTCATCAAGTTCACTTTAAATAGGTTTTTGATCATTTCTCTGAATCATACACTCTCAAAAGGGTGATAATTTCTACGAATATATGTCAAATTCTGTATGTTTTTTTCAAGAGTATCAGTATCTTCATAGAAACTATGATGGTATAATATTTATGCCAGGTGCTGGGCATCAGGCTATACAATCTTTCTGACTAGTCTTCCTGGCTGACTTTGGCGGTCATGGTTCTGGCTGGAATTTTGTGACATTGGAGGGGTCTGTATTTTAGAAAAGGTATTCTGAAATTGGACTATCAGCTTTCGTTAAACTTTTACTCCAGTTCCTTTACAAGTATGTGACTATCTGCCACAATGGGCTAAATATATTTTTGTTTAAATATTTTAGAAGATATAGGTTATTACTACTTTAAAACTTAGAATTTGAAATTAACTTTTGCACCATTGATATCCCTGGCCAAATTTGTGAAGACACATGTATTCTGTTTGAATAATTTTTTCCTACCCCCGAACTCTAAAGTTTTGAAGAAATTAATATAGTATACCAACATATCCCTATCATAGTTTAAGTATTTCCAGAATTATTTATATTTTTAAAAGTGTAAAGTTTGGATAAACTGAAGCAATTGTTAACGGATGGGATCTACCATTAATAATCACAATAATTACCATTTATTGAGCATGTACTCTATGCCAGGCACTAAGATTTACATACCGTATCTCATTTAATGCCATGAACCAGTGATGAGGTGTAGCAAACAAGGGAACCACATTTACCTGGATGGCTGCCAAATCAGCAAAGTTATGGAAAATTGGAGCATTAAGTAGGCAAAAATAAATAAGACTGCATAATTACAGTGATATTATGGGGAAGCTTTAAAACAATAATTTTGATTTGAATTCTTGCTGATTATTTACTTACATCTTTTCCCTCAACAGGAAAAATATAAAATGACCATTTAAAAGAATTACATATAAGACTGTGACATTAATTTTGAATGGGCAGTAAGCAGCCAAACATTAGCTGAAATATACACTTCTTAGTTTCTTAATTGTGTTGAAGCTATCATATTTTGGCTCCATTTATCCACTATTTGATGATCTGATTGCAGATTCTATCGTAGAAAAATGCAATTGGATGGACAGAAAGTCTAGAATATCCATTTCCACGGAAGGAAACATTTTCAGTAAACACAGATTCCCGACCTCCTCTTTCCAGTCAGTGTGACCTCTTAGGACATCTCTTCTCGCACAAAATGAGAGCCTCTAATCCTGTCTTGCTGAGGAGTCACACTAGGGAGATGGGCAGCTGTCTGGACTATGGAGTGAAATCTCATGCACAACTCCGGGATTCAATCCCTCATCAGAGCCTCTCAGGCCAGATGACAAACCAGGGGATGATTTGGGGGTTTGGGATAGATCAGAAATGTTAAGGGAGGCCTACACTGCAAAGGTAGACCTGAGGAAATGAGCAGCAACAGCAACCTAGGTGAAGGCAAGGTGAAGGGAGGTGAAGACCCAGCCAGTCTCTAAACTTGCATTATCTCTATGCTGGGGACCAGCCAAAGGATCCCACATTCTCACATTCAATGCTTTGAGATCCCAGGAGATGACAACAGTCATGGTTCAGTAATAGTTCAGACAGTGTTCCAGTGCCTCCATTTTGAGTGGGTAATTTTCAAGATAAGAAGTACATGGGTTTACCAGAAGAGGGCTTTGTGGCAGGAT